ACAGCCCCTTCCCGCCAAATCTGGGAGAAGGCTAGACGAACCTAGTTCCCTTAGCCCAGAGGCCGGCAACCTGCGGCTCCGGAGCGGCATGTGGCTCTTTGAGCTTCCCCTGCGGCTCCCGGCCTCCTCCGCCATTTGCAGAGAGAGACAGAGAGACAGAGAGAGGGCGGAGCTCCTGCCTTGGCTGCCTCTCTGCAGGAAGCAGGAAGCAGGAAGTAGGAAGGGCAGGAGAGAGCTCGCTAGCCCAGCTACGCTGACTCAGGAATTCTGGGAGTTGAAGTCCATGAGTCATAAAAGAGCCCAGGTTGCCTACCCCTGTGCTAGCCCAATAAGAATGTGCGTCAGCTTGTTGGAGAACAGCTTGAAGCCAGCTTGCCAGGTGAGCAGAAGATCGGAGAGAGAGAGAGAGAAAGAGAGAGGGAGGGAGAGAGAGACAGAGAGAGAAACCTTTTGACATCTAAAATGAAGATAACACTGCATATATCCTTTTTTACCTTTATCTTCATTTGTTATATCAGTGTTTTCCAAAGCGCCTGGAGGCAGGACAAGAAGCAACGGGTGGAAACTAACCAAGGAGAGAAGCAATCTAGAACTAAGGAGAAACTTCCTGACAGTTGGAACAATTAACCAGTGGAACAACCTGCCTCCAGAAGTGGTGAATGCTCCAACACTGGAAGTTTTTAAGGAGAGACTGGACAGCCATTTGTTTGAAATGGTGTAAGGTTTCCTGCCTGAGCAGGGGGTTGGACTCGATGACCTCCAAGGTCCCTTCCAACTTTACTATTATTATTATTAAGTGTTATCTTCATTTTAGATATCAAAAGGGTTTTGGGGCTCCCAGTGTTTTGTTTTCGGTGGGAAACGGGTCCAAGTGGCTCTTTGAGTGTCTTGGGTTGCCTACCCAGCATTCATCATATGGTTTACACATAAGGACTCCTGCCTTGGGCAGGGGGTTGAACTAGAACTAGGTCTCTTCCTGTCCTATGATTCTACGATCTAGGACAGGTGGGTAGAGGGGGTGAGCCCTGGATACCTTTTCTACATTTTATGAGTACCTCCCAAGTCCTAGACCAGAATTTCTTAAATGATAATGTCTAGAGCTTATTGAAGTGGTTCACTTCATGATCAAAAGAAACATAAAATCAGATACTTTTTCTTTGTGTGTTTTATTTTGGCCATAAATTGGATTGTGAGGAGATTCTTCAATTTACATCTCTTCATTCCTCATTGAAAGAACCCTTTAGATGTGTTCTTCATTCCTTCCATACCTCTTCAGACTCCGCCTGCAGCTCTTCTCACCTACTACTGGAGGGAACCATAAAGATCACCAAGACCTCCCCATGCCCCGCAAGCAGTGCCAAGGGAGGCAGCATCCACAGTTTCAGTCACTGTGATGCATGAGAAATAAGTCCTTTCGCTGTGGGTCTCTTCCTCCCCCAAACGCACAAACAGGCCTAATTCCCGGAAGACAGGAAAGCAGAAGTGCATTGGGAAGTCTGAAATATAAGATGTATTATTGGGGCTGGAAAGCAAGGAGCCAACAGTTTACACGGGTTAGTTCTGCAGATTTAAGTTTCTAACTCACTGGTTTCAGATGGGGGGGGGTATACAAACTGAATAAAACAAAGAAGTTGGATTTAGGTTTGTAAGGCAGCGTTTCTCAACCTTAGCAGATGTGAGGACTGCAACATGGCTGGCTGGGGAATTCTGGGGGTTGAAGTCCACCCATCTTCAAGCGGCCATCGTTGAGAAACCCTGCTCTAAGGAATGAAAGGCTCTGAGAAGCCGTTCGTAAATAACTTGTAGGAGAAAAAAATTACTAGGTAGGGAACGTTACGGTAGATTGCCCAATTTTCCTCACCTCGGAACATCTATATGAATGAGGACATTACCGATTCTTATAAACCTCCTAGCCCCATTCACACCTCCTAGCCCCTTGAGCGATCCTGGCTAGCCCTTGGTGAGTCTGCCTTCACAGTCAGCTCTATCTGGGGCTTCCAGAGGTGCTACAAAGTGAATATAATAATAAATGGGGAGCAAAATAAAAGTAGACTTACTCCCTGTTAATCGATCCCTTGAAATGATGCATCTCTAGATACTAAGCATGAAGCATACGCTTAAAAGGTAAATACAACTCGGTCTAGTTCTTACTGTGCAGTGACAGTGCAGCGCCTTTAAACACTCAATCTGCGGAATTGCTACACAAGGAGAAAAAAGGCCAACCCTGAAATCAGCTTGGTGGCAAGCAAAACACAATCATTTGTCCACGTGGAAGCGCCTTCCCTCTATAAGTCACAATTTGCTATGCTCCAGCCTTCAAGTTCTCCTCAGCCTGGAAAAAAATGAGGGGTCGTTTCAAATCATTCACACAAATACAAACAGCAGACTTTCTCCAAAAACCTCCACGTGTGCAGAAGACAATTTTCCATTCCTTTTGTTCTAAAGTCTCAGAAGGCAGCGTTTTTGCTCCTTGAGTTGAAACTGAGCAGAAAAAGATGTTAAATATAACTGAAGCAAGAGAAAGAAAGAAAGAAAGAAAGAAAGAGAAAGAAAGAAAGAAAGAAAGTCTTTTCAGACAGCACCCCGCCTGCCCCAGCCCTGGCTATACAATGGTGTTTAAATTTTCAGGAACACGGCCAATAATAAGTTGAAATTTCACCCTCTCCCTCCTCCTCTGTAACTTAATACGCTGCCTTCAGCTGTGCATTGAACCCATATGTGGCGGCCAGGCTGCCTCTTAAAAAAAAAACCAACCATGAGAGCCCGAGAAGGTGGCTCCGGCAAATTTTATTAACCAAACCTCTAAAAGCCTCCGGTGAGGACCCAGGCTCTGAATGAGCAGAAGCGTTTTAAAAGCTCCATTCAGAACACCTTCCTTTCCCTCCTTCTGCCAAAGCAACAAACTGAACTATCGAAAATGGGGTCCAGCTGCCAAATGCCAAAGTTGCAATCCGAGAGAGAGAGAGAGAGAGAGACTTTTGCAAAAAAAGGAGCATCCTCATTCAAGCATCTGTCATGGAATAAATAACAGAGCAAGGAGCCCACCAGCGAAGTCCTCTTGGCGAGATTGACAGGAGGCTGCAGAGATTAGGCAGGCTTACCTGTCAGGAGGCTAACAGCCCAGGCCACCAGCACCCCTCGGCAGGCCTCCATGGGGCACCCAGAGACGTCCAGGGCTGTCTGGTCAGACCATGCACGGAAGGTTCGCACAGAAAGCAAACCAGAGGTCGAACTCGGTGAAAAGCAGCCTGCTTATCCCACAAGTCTCTCCCCACTCCTGACAGAAGCAGCTCTTGGAAGGAAGTGGGAGGGGCGGGGCTGTAGGAGCTGCAGGAGCAGAGAAGCCGAGTGGGGATGGGGTGGCCAGGGGGGCAGAGGCTTAGCGCCCGGGGCTGTGCCAGCAGCAGGGATTCCCCAGCCTTGGCTGCAGAAGTGGCAGGAGCCTTCTTCGTAGAAAGCCCTCCAGCGAGGACTCCTCCGCAGTGGCAAAGCAGACTTTTCCTGGCAATTTTGAGGTGCTCTTGCCAAGAAGGAGACCATGAAAACATCGAGCATCATATTATGTGGCTGGGGGGGAGGTGGCGGGGGAGGAGGGAGCATTTACTCCGAAAAAACTGGAAACGAACCTGCCAAATTTGCACTGCTTTTTTCAAACAAGTCAGTATTTGATCACTTGAAAATGGTCAGATTGAAGATTTCAAAATGAATTTTTAGATTAGGAAAGTGGGTTAAAAAGCATGTTTGCCAGTCATCTATTTTCAATCAGCTGGCTCAAGGGGACGCCCCCTTCGTCTCTTTGCTTACAGATTTTTGAGCTGCTACAAAAATCTGCCACACAGCCTTGGAACACTGCATCCAGTTCTGGTCACAACAATATAAAAAAGATGTTGAGACTTTAGAACAGGGGTCCCCAACCCCCGGTCCGTGGACCAGTACCGGGCTGCAGCCTGCCAGCAACCGGTCTGCATAAACAAGCAAAGCCCCATCTACGGGATGCAGTAGCACACAAAACCACACACCCTCCAGTGTGCAGAAAAACCTCTTTCCCTGAAACCGGTCCCTGGTGCCCAAAAAGTTGGGGACCTCTGCTCTAGAACGAGTGCAGAGAAGAGCAACAAGAATGATTAGTGGGCAGGGGGCTAAAACAGATGAAAAATGGCTACAGGAATTGGGTATGTCTAGTCTAATGAAAAGAAGGACTAGGGGAGAGATGATAGCATATTTGAGGGGCTCCTACAAAGGCAAGGGGTCAAACTATTTTCCAAAGTGCCAAAAGGCAAGACAAAAAACAGTGGATGGAAACTAACCAAGGAGAAAAGCAACCTAGAACTAAGGAGAAATTTCCTAATGGTGAGAGCAAGCAATTAATGGTATAGCTTGCCTTATGGCTGCTCCATCACTGGAGGCTTTTAAGAAGAGACTGGACAACCATTTGTCTGAAATGGCATAGGGTCTCCTGCTTGAGCAGGTTGGTTGGACTAGAAGACCTCCAAGGTCCCTTCCAACACTATTATTTTGTGTTCTATGCTCTATCTCCCTTTTTCTGAAAAAGATGGAATTAGTTTTGTTTGATCTGACTCAATGTTGACTTCTGGCAACCCTGCAATTTTCTTGGCAACATTTTCCAGTGGTTTGCCTTGGCCTCCTAGGGAGGGACTGCCGTCACCCACAGGAGGAGAGGAAAAAGTACACCGAGTGAACTTGTACTCTTAGGAAATTTAAAAATCCAACCTCTTTAATTTTTTATTACATGGCCTAAAGATCATACAAGCAACTGGAGATCATTGAAAGAAATCCAGTGAATGCCATCAAACTGCCATTCTGATAGATTTTAATATTAAAAAGCAATATTTCAAAAACTGATTAGAAATGAGACTTGACCAAGCTTTATGTCCATATAGGCTGCATTACAGTTGTGGGCACAGAGGGAATTCCTTGATTACCAGTTGCTCCACTCCCCACCAACTACAAAAACCTCAGTTCTTGCAATCTATTCATGAGGAGAAGCTTCCCAGAGTACAAGTGGGAAATCCCATGATCTCTCCTTTCTCCGGAGAAATTTCAGTGATCAGCCATAACGCCATCCGTACTCCTTCAGGGATGGCTATCTCATCATGTCCTCAGAAAAAGTCTCCATGCCTTCTTTTTTTCTGATTTTTGTCTTCCTAAGATTTTGAAGATGGGAAACATACAAAAAATATAGTATAATGCTAAAAGAAACGTCATGTGAGTTTAAAGAATGGAAGAACGTTACACGCATCTCAGAAAATCTATGGATCTCTTTGACCCAGTTATGATACTTTTATCCATGACACAAAGACGTCCTGCAACCTCTTTTTTCTGCTTTGTCCTCATAATGATGCCTTTATCTGATCGCTACCCCCTACCTGAGACACAACTCAGAATCACCTTTAGCTGCTCATGTGGTGCCATCCTGTTTTCTGTTTTAAGTAGGTAACAAGCGTCTTTATTGTGGGTACTATCTGGCCGTTCTCTCAGTCCAAGGGGCCATTTGATCTCTAGGGAGGAATCAACACTCTCCCTGTAGACCACTGTGGGCTGATGGGAGGTGCCTCCTTCCTTCTGGATTTTGGACTCGTCCTCCAGGTTTATTTGCTCTGAAGAATAGGACAATCCCATTATTTCAAACTGGGCTCTCCCTGTGAGTGGGCTGAGTGATCCCTGGCCCTGAGGCTTAAGTCAGCCTGACGAGCAGCTGATCGACACTCAGAGGGCAATGGCTGCACATTGGACCAGGAGGGAAACACAGCTCCCTGTGTTTGATGCAGTTCTGGAATACTGCTAAACCTGGGTCCAAAAGAGTCTCCCATCTGTGAAAACTCACTCTCTCTCTCTCTACCTCTAGGCCACCTTAAAGAGACGGGTGAACATTTTCCCACTGTGATGAGAGATCATGGAAATTCCATCAGTCTTTGTCTTTAATATGATGTCACCACAAAACCATGGCTTGGGGCAGTAGATTTTATCCTAGTGTACTTTTCTGGGTCCGAATTGGAGAAAAGAACCTTGCCTCGCCCATGAGAAAGAGCCCGTGGCACTCTGGACCCATCCTTGACTGGATAGAAAACTGTATTAGCATCCTCGTTGCTGATTTCTCTCCTATTACCTCTGCCAGTAACCTGACTTCCTTCCAAGGAAATGGGTGTCAAACCCTAATGCGTTTCCCAGACAGGCTGCTCTTGGATGCTGTCAGAAGAAATGGGAGAACATTGCTTTTGCAGCCGCCTGGCTAAGGTCTGAAAAGGCTGCCTCGCTCACAGACTGGGATGATGAAACAAAGGCCGTGTCATAAGAATGCAGCAAAAAAAAAAAAAAAAAAAGTATTGCAAGGGCCTGCTCAGTGCGGGAATCCGGAAAATATTCCAGACAGATGGTTATCATCTGGAGATCAGTCCCTGCAGCTGAATGAGTTGGTGCAGAGTTCTTATGTGTCACTACAGGACAATGACTCAAATTTCTCCATTGCTACCTATTTTATATATGATCTGTAAAATTTCCCAATTGTATTTATTTGATTAGGGAAACAGAGAAGGCAAAAGCGAATCCCTATTTTTACTTATTGACCTACAAGCAATGCAGACCCAAGACCTGTGCCACAAAATTTGCTGAGCCCCAAAACTCAGTGGCTACCAACCTTGCTAAGTAGCATTCACAGAATTACAGGGCTGAAATCATTCTTCACACATTGTGTCCTCTATGAATTTATCCATTCTGTTCTTAGACTCAGCTAAATAAAGCAAGCATAGTTTTTATCGTGTAACAGGGAGCTCCATATTTTAGCCGTGCACTGCATTTCACCCCCGTTTCCATCATCCCCATCCTGCACCACTGCAATGTCTGGCGGTAATGACTTATTTGGAAGACCCTAGTGCCGATATCCTGCTGGTGGGATGAGGCATCTGATTGGCTGATTTTGGGAAAGAGAATATTGGGCTCTCATCAAGTTCTGGACTGATCAGCAGAGATTTCCTTCTTTTTAACGAGACAGCCAAAGCGCCTCTTGCGTCCCACAGCTGTGCAAACATTTTCCTCTCTATACAATGTCTGTTTCTTTCCAAGCTGTCTTCTATGGCTGCAAATCCTAAGCACAGAAAGGAAATCGGGACAGCCCAGCTTTGCTTCTCCCCTCGGCCTCCTTGTGTGGGTGGGGAAGGTTGGAAAGGAGTCTGCGGCTATATTTGACTTGACGTAGCATTTACAGCGCTCTGCTTGGTCAAGAGTCCTGACTGCACGTGGCTCATAGTCCTGGCCAATGCATTGGCTCCTTGGCTAGAGCCGCTTCCGTGGGGAAGCTTATCCTGGTGGCCACAGTTATCCAAAGCAAAGCCGTAGCCCAGAAAGCAAGTGATCTGCTGGGCTTCAACACTGCCTCAAGGCTCGCATCTGCAGGTGCCACACGCTCTTTCTCGGTCACCCTTTTAAAGGCAGAACGTACTTGGCTGCTGCACTGTCTGCTTCGGATTTCATTTCTAGTCTCTTGATCATTGTCCTTCTCTGAACATGCACATTTTCTTTGAATCCTTCTTGATGTGTAGTGCCCAGAACTGAAAGCAGGAGAAAAAATAAGGTATGAACAACATAGAATAAAGTGGAACAATTACTTCCAAAATTGGAAACAATATTCTGTTGATGTACCTTAAAATTGCATTTCAGTTTTTGCAGCTAGATAAACATACATTCAGTTTGCACACAAGCCCATTTGTAACTTTACAAAATCAAAGTTATAATCACCCCTTTTCTCCTTATTCCAAAAGATTTTTTTTAAAGCCTTAAACTTTATTTCAAAATTCTTTTGCTAAGAATTGAAGGAAATTCAGCCACGGCTGTTAGAACCTGCCTGTAGAACTCAGCAAAGCAAACGTTCCTAACAGCTGGAAAGATCTGGCTATTTCCCCAAGGATTCAGCTAGGATGGGACTGAATCAGGGCTTCACCAGTAGGGAAAGTCCATGCCTGGTGGGAAAGGTTTGATCTGTTTCTATATGGTTGCCTTTATTGGTTGTGAGGAGCTGCCCAGGATTACCGTATGAGGCATTCTTTAAATTAATGTTATTGGTATCCCTCCAAAAATCAATAGTATTTGGGTGATCCTTGCAGAGTCTGTTCCTGACCTGGTCAACCTAGAGAGACTGA